TGCACAAAATCGTAGCGTGATAGGTTAAGGAACCGAATTTTGCGGCTCATTAAAAGAGCCTGGCAGCTCTTTGAGACACCCGATATATAATATATATATATTTATATTTTTAATATATTTTCTTTTTAATTTTGTAGTTTATCCGGAATATTATCATCATATTTCAACCCGGAAAAGCATGCCACCCGAAAAACCTAAACTCTCTCTCAAATATTTTGAACAGATACTTTTGCCGTCAGTTTTCGTCGAAAAAAAGAAAAAAAAAACGTCTCTATCAATAACCGCGAGACTGGCGCGTCGCTCCATCACCTCCGACCGCAAAGGCAGCCCCTTGTGGCAGTTTCAATTGTGCGTGGGCGAAATGGGCAACGCGAGAAGACCATCCCTCGCGGGGCGGATCGAACTTGGGGCTGACCCCGAGCGGTGCCCCTTCCCCGCGCGGGCTGCCACAAAAGAAGGCCACCGGAATTGAAGGGGAAACCGAGAGGGGCTGCGGCGCCCGGTCACCGAGAGAAATCGGGTTTCCGTCCGGGAATCTATACGTCGGAGCGTTCTGAGGAACCCACAACACCTAAGATACTCACGTCCTTCACTTTTCCCCCGTTTTCTTTCTCGGTTGGGTCTTCGTTTTCCACTTCTGTGGAGTTAAAATTGAAAGTGTGTATAGGCGTCTTGAATGACTGTGCCCCGGTCACGGTTCAAAGCGTTATATATGGACTTCTTTATTTACTTTTTCTTTCTGGGGAGGTGGGTGGGGGACTTCACTCTACTGGATTCGGGCAGGACCGCGGAGAAGACTTATAAATACTTAAACAACTGGTGAGAGAACCAATTTTATTTTCGAAACATTATCCCCCGAGACGCAGGAGCACACAAGAGGAAATGAACTTTTCTGCATTTTTCTTGAGTTTATACTGTTGCCGATTTACGGTTTTATTTATACAATGACTCAAACGGCACAGTTTTTTGGAAATCGTACAAATTCAAGGTATTACCTTCACGAATCTGTAGCAGGTCGGACGAGATGGCAGTTAAAAGCCGAAAGTTTTTTTCACGGTGACATTCAACCGAAGACTTGAGTCTGCCTGCCACAGTTTCATAGAATTATAGAACTATTTTAATAGCAGGTACAGGAATTTATCAATATTGCTGTTCTACAAATCTTACACCAAACTGATGGCATTTTTAAAATAGGATTATGTAACGTCTCTTTCGATGATATCACGGGATCACAATACCTGCTTTTATTACAGCATGAAATGCTTTTAAACGTAACCCTTATTCCTAAGTTTTTGTCCTTCCCTCCGTCCGTGCATTTACGGCTAAATTTAGCTGTAAATTGCCGCATTATGTCACGTCACGTGTCCTATACAACTCGGTGAAATAGACGGCACGTGACCTCTACGCCAATTCAATTTCCTCGCTACATTTGGCGGGTGAAATCGACATCAAGGGACCAGACGTCACGTGACCTGCACATCAATTCAGTTTCCTAGCGAAATTAAGCGGCTCAATGTATGTCATGTGACACATCGATTCCCCAATCCCTTCCCTCTCCCTTTCTTTTCCCATCCCTTCCCCGTCCTAGCAGCACCTCATTTATAATCCTAGGTGATCCTAGGGCCCATCCCCCTCTCCCTCCCTCTCTCTCTAGGCGATCTTCCTATGCCTCCCCCTTTCTTCTATGGAGCCCTTCCATTCCCCCTTCTTGGTCATATGACACACCAATTCAGTTTCGCCGCTGAATTTAGCGGGTATATGTACTTCATGCTACCAGCTCCTTCTGCCCATTACTCTCTCCTCCCTTCCGTCTCCTCTTTTCCCAACGCTGCAACGCCGTCTCCTCACACTTCTGCAGCCCTTTACCCGTTGCCATCTGCCTCCCTTCCACTCTTTCTTCTTCCTTCCTCTCCCACCATTCCCGTCCCTCTGCCTATTCTTTACTCCCTCCTACAGTACCTTCCTTCTTTTAAATCCCCACTTGCCGTTCTTCCACTCGCCCTCTCACTGGTCAGGTAACACACCAATTCAGGTACCTCGAAATAACGACCGTTTAATTGATTAACAATTGAAACAATCGCTCCTAAAAACTGCATTTCATGCATTTTGACTTTGAGGTAAATGTTGCTGCCACTTTTTTACTTACCCTCAATATAAGTCATCATAGCCATAAGAGAGTTGCTTACGACGATTGAGCTTGTTATAGGTTTTGCAATGCTCAAGATTGAGGATTACTTATCGATCGAAGTATTTTCAGTGAAATCGCAGAAATGCTTACTGCATCCTGGAAACCCGGCCAAACAATCATGCTTTGTGCGCAGGACTTTTCTTTGAACTTTGCAACGATCCGGCGTTGTTACAGGGCTGTTAATTATACGCATTCATGAAAGCCTCAACTACTATAGGGCCTCCCCCAGAGGTTCCGAGTGCTTACTACTGCTCTAAGTATCGTAGAAAAAAAGGTCACTGGCCCACCTTTAATTTCATCACATTATGAGGTAGGCGGTGGCCATCTTGCCACTATGGTCTTGGAAGTCTCGTGGTACTAAGGCTGTGCGTCACTTTTTATTTTTTTTATTTATCAATACTGCCAGCCCAATATAGGGCCAAGGCAGGAGTGGGGTGATACAGTGTCACACATGCACATTATAAACACAACAGTTCTAAACAAAGAGCAATCTTAGCACCGAAAATTAATATCTACGACATATTCGAAAGAAGAGAAACAATACAGTAACCAAATGTAATACTAGTAATAACAATAACAGTATAGCAGTAAATGTAACAGCAGTAATAAAAAATAAAGACAGTAAAATAATTTCATAAGAGCAATAAAAGCAATCTTAGCACTGAAAAATATTATCTACGGCTTTTTCGAAAGAACAGAGTGAATCAATATCGACAACATCCCCGGGAAGGCTGTTCCACAAATCAATTGTATGCACAAAAAAAGATTGTTTATAGCTATTTATTCGAGCTTTAATAGGGGCTACGGTCTTTGAGTGATGCAAGCGTTCCGAGTAAAAACTTTTTGGTTTTAAGTAAACGGAGCCATCAATTTTTATACAGTTCTTGAAAATCTGAAAGAACAGCTTCAACCGTTGGCTCTCTCTTCTGTTTGACAGAGGGCTTATATTGGCTCTCCTTTTAAGTTCGGTCACAGACGTAGTTCGTCTGAAATCTGAAAAAACTATACGCACAGCTAGCGACTGAATATCTTCGAGTTCTCTGACCAGAGAGCTCTGCCATGGGCTCCACACTGCAGACGCGTATTCTAAGACAGGTCTAATAATTGTCTTATACGCAAGAATTTTAACGGAAGGGGGAGTTTTACCCAGCGTTCTCTTCAGGTACCACAATTTGTTAGTTGCCCGCTTTTTAACATACTCCACATGCCTTTTCCACCCGAGGTCAGAAGACAAAATCACTCCTAAATATTTGTAACTGTCCACTTCAGTCAATACTACGCCAGCAACCTCATAGCTAAAGTTTAAGACAGTTCTTTTTGTTGTTATGTGCATGTACTGAGTTTTGCTAATATTAATCTTCATGTTATTTTCACGACACCAAGACGCAATGTTCGCCAGTGCTTTACTCACTTTTATCTGGTCTTGTATTTCAACAACGGGACTGTAAATGACGCAGTCGTCGGCAAACATTCTTAGCTTAATTGGGACATCTTCATTGGATGGGAACAAACTGTTAACGTAAGTTAAAAAAAGTAGGGGCCCTAAGACAGAACCTTGGGGCACCCCAGAATGAACATCTAACAGCCCTGAGTAAGTACCATTTATATCCACAAATTGTTGACGGTTTGAAAGATATGCATTGATCCACTTAGTCAAAGAAAAGGGAACTCCGAGATCTATTAATGTCTTAATCAGTCTGCGGTGAGGTACCCGGTCGAATGCCTTCGACAGGTCGATGAAAACTGCATCAACCTGCGTACGGTTGTTAACGTAAGTGGCTAATTCATGGTAAAATTCAATCAACTGGGTTACCGTTGACAGGCCACTGCGGAAACCATGTTGGTTGGGGTTTAGAACATTATGCATTTCTAAGAAAGAAACGAGTTGTTTGGTTATGATATGTTCTAGTAATTTACAGGCCGTGCAAGTCATGGAGATAGGACGATAATTATCAATTGAGTCACTTCTGCCAGATTTCTTTACAGGGACAACCCTAGCGACTAGCCAGTCATTCGGTAATGCAGCATCCTTGATTGATATAGAAAATATTCGTACAAGGTATTTGGCCACCCATTCTACATATCTTTTAAAGAAGGCATTCGGCAAAGCATCTGGTCCCGGGGATTTTTTTTCATCGAGTGAAAGTAGTAGTGCAACAACACCCTCCTCAGATATAAAACTGCTCATGTCATCTGCGGGAGGAATAATGATGTTCTGACGTGACTCTCTCGTAAATACAGACTGGAAAAACTGATTGAACTTAACTGCTATTATTGCCTTGTCACTCACCAGGCTGCCGTCAATAGATATCTGTTTAATACCACTTTTTGTAGGAGATAGGTGACGCCAGAACTTTTCGGGGTTAGATAGCAAACATTCAGGTAACGTCCTTGTATGGTATGTTTCTTTAGCCAATTTTATTAAGCTTTTTAGTTGCCTCGCCTGCTGATTTACATAATCAGATCGACGCTTCCGAAGCCTTTTCAGCTTCCGTTTGACGTGCAGAATTTCCCGTGTTATCCACGGGTTTCGGCGTTTTATCTTTTTTGTCTTTTTTGGAATAAAATAAGCAAGACAATGGCCCACTATACACTTAAAGCTCAGCCACATATCATTTACCTCAGTCCGCTGATTGAAGTTATCGAGGCACTGCTCAAGATAGTCAATAACGGATTCATCATTTGCCCTACCAAAATCATAGTACATCTTCTTTTCATAGTGTTTAGACTTAGTAACAGAAATATCACATTTTAAAAATACTAACTTATGGTCAGATATTCCGTCGTGAACAGAAACCTCACAACCATCGAAATGATTACTAACAAACAAAAGATCGAGTAGCGAACATGTAGTGTCAGTAACACGCGTAGGTTCCGTAACAACTTGACGTAGACCGCGACTGAAAGCCAATTGTAGAAGCGAGTCGGACATCCTCGTGCCCTGGACAGCCACACCATCATCCGACCAAATGACGTCCGGAGCGTTAAAATCTCCTCCAATTATCAACTTACTTCGACTATTAGTGTTTGCGATCAAGTAATCCAGGATTTTATCTAAGTCCTCAGAGGATGATCCTGGCTTTTTATATACCGTTCCAACAGTTATCCAAGTTCCGAAGAAATCCAACTTGCACCACACACTTTCACTGTCACCAACATGCTCCATGGATTGAAACGCCAAGTTGTCTTTTATCGCTATAGCTACTCCTCCACCTCTGCCGCACCTATCCCTGCGAAGTAACCTATAGTTTGGCGGTACGACTTCGTTATCAAGAATATTATCATTAAGCCAGGTTTCGGTTATCAGAAAAACATGCGGGTCGTAGCAATAAATTAAAGCTTCTAGTTGGTCAGTTTTGTTAACTAAGCTTCGTGCATTTAGGGATACCAGTCTGAGTTCTTTTTTTTCTTCCTCTCTGTGTCATGCGCAGGGAGTAAGGCGCTGGCTGGAAGTTTGTACTTGTTTCACCTTGTCATTTTTCTGGTCATCCCATATGTACACTTCACCATTTATCTTCAGCTTATCATATGACAAATACACCTTTTCCCTCCTTTCCCTGTTGGCTCGTGAGCTGTTCCAAAGAAGTCTCCTGACTGAGCGAACACGGTATGAAAAATCTTCACCAATGTATATATTTGTGCCTTTTAATTTTTTAGCATTTTGAAGTATCAGCTCTTTTTCCCGGTAGTCCATAAGTCTAAGTATGACGGGGCGTCGTGAGCCTTCTTTGTGCTTTCCGAGACGGTGGATCCGCTCTATACTTGTTATCGATACCTCCAAATGTTTTTCGAATATTTCCTTGACTACCGTAGTATTTAACGAGGACGAACTTTCCTGCGGACTCTCCGTCAGACCATGTATCACCAAGTTGTTCCTTCGTTCTCTATTTTCCAGTTCATCTATCTTGTTCTCCAGGGCTTGAATATGCGTTTGAAGTTCCTCAGCCCGGGCCGTCATACGGTCTTCACTCGACGTCACCCTCGTGGTCAAGTTTTCCAACTTTTCCTCTAAACCATTAGTGCGCTGTAGCAGTATTTGGATATTAGCATTAATTTCCATTAGAATCTCATGATCAGTTTTTGGGCCTGGGTTTGACTCAACGTCACCGCAAACCAAGAGGCTAATCACACATACACATCTCTTCACCAGAAACAAACAATACCGTGGGCTCGGCGAGACAATTACAAAATAACTGCCTCTAAACGATGTCGTATTTTCCCAACTGACCTGGTAGAAAAGGATCGGCGGTTTAGCCATGCTGTCCAGTCGGCGTGTGCCGAGCCCACTGGCGTTGGTCCGGTCAGGCTTGGTCTTTATGGGCAGCGATTGCAGCGCCGTTGCCGCTGAAGCTGTTCCAAGAGGCACCTCCCCCAAGTTCGGCACGTGTCGACAATCCAGATGCGATGATGCGCCGTAGATAAAGCTGTCTTCGCTCCTTCCGGAGCTCTTGATTGTACCGTCAGGATGACTGCCAAGAGTGCGGGATTCTGTGCAGGACAGCAGCAGGAACATGACCTGGTAGAAAAGGATCGGCGGTTTAGCCATGCTGTCCAGTCGGCGTGTGCCGAGCCCACTGGCGTTGGTCCGGTCAGGCTTGGTCTTTATGGGCAGCGATTGCAGCGCCGTTGCCGCTGAAGCTGTTCCAAGAGGCACCTCCCCCAAGTTCGGCACGTGTCGACAATCCAGATGCGATGATGCGCCGTAGATAAAGCTGTCTTCGCTCCTTCCGGAGCTCTTGATTGTACCGTCAGGATGACTGCCAAGAGTGCGGGATTCTGTGCAGGACAGCAGCAGGAACATGACCTGGTAGAAAAGGATCGGCGGTTTAGCCATGCTGTCCAGTCGGCGTGTGCCGAGCCCACTGCCTTTGATACTGCATCACCATTGAGGAGTGATGCCTTCTCTCTTTTCCATTGGCTAAGCTGATTAAAGGAAAGTCAGGGATGGGCGTCCCGAGTGCGTCGTTGTGCGGCACACACTCGTGAACGCTGCAGTGCTGCCAGTGAATATAGAGAAAGGGTGAGCAGTTTTGGCAGGGACAGTCCCCCTTCAGAGGTGCGTTCCTCCCGTCCCCGTAAATGTGTATCAACGACGCCTCATGTCCGGGTGTCGTGGGAAAGTGCGTGCAAAGTTGCAAGATGGGTGCTAAGCGAGTGGAAGAGATCTGAAAGAACACATACTACATTTTATAAAAAAAGTAAACTGAGGATAAAAATGTTACCCAAAGTAAATTTAGAGCTCGTTTTGTGGTACCATTGATCAGTAGGTTCAGTTCGGATCACTTTTATATATTACTTTATTTGGCAAGCTTTGATTTGTTTAAAAATTAAGAAAGGTGCTGGTTCACCAACTAAACGAAGTTCTTCGAAAGTTTATGCATTTGCACAGTGTACTGAATAGTAGCAGGGCTTGCTTTTTCTTTTGGCCGTGGTACCCACTTCCGTTCCACTCCGCCCCCCCCCCCCCCTTTTCCCCCCTCCAATCCTTCCATGTCCCGTTTTTTACTCTGTAGATTGTGATCAGACCACATGGAGACTACAGAGTAACCGGTGGATGCAGCCCCATCGGCCGCATAATTCGCTGCCACTTGGGAGCTCCACGTTCTAGTGGAAAGTCGAGCGCGTCTGTTTTAATGGCACGTAAAGACGCAACTTTTGTATCCACCTTCCCCGCAGATGACGCGTTTCGTAAAGAATGAAGCCACACGAACAGGCAGGAAAAGCTGCCCTTTTTCGGGCCCCCTGCAACCTCCACGCTATTTACGCGAAACTACAAAACTTCTTTGAATTTCAAGGAAGAAAAACAAATGTATGTGCTTCTCTGTAAGGCAGCAAAAGCCGCTAGCTCGCTCCCGGTCTTGACCAAACAAACACCGTATCGAAACGGATGCGTTCGGAACGCGAAGCGTTAAGACGGCCTGGTGTATTAGAGTGTTTACGCTACAACCAAGAATAGTAGTGGTTCGTTGTCTTTTCTTTCCTTGCGCGCACTGAAGCTGCTTTTTTTTTTTCGCGAATTTCTCAGAACGTCTAATTCCGTCTTGTATCTCTAGGAATCAAATTGACAGCCAGATTATTGAACCAGGTACCATGGGTTGAACACACTTAATTGTTTTTGTCTGTTTGGTTGGTTGGTTATAAATCTTCTTTATTGGGGTTTGGTTGGCGCTTTAGCTTGCTTTTTGACGCTGTAATACTTTTACAATACGAAGAGTCTTCTTTGAAAAGAATTTTTAATGTCTTTTTTGTATTGTCTTTATGGATTTTGTTTCACTCTTAATGAGAGAAGAGTGGTTGTTTGGGAGAGCTGGTTTGCCATCTTACGCAATCTTGTGAGCAGCAAGGACGAGGACAAAAGGGAGAACAGGACACAACGAGGCACATCTCTAAACTGATCTTTATTGAATACGTATTCCGGTTTTTGTAGTCTCAACCATCGTCACAATGACAACAAACAAAACGACAAAAGCAAAGAAACAAGCACCACAGAGCATAATTGGGGGAAAAAAACACTATCGTTCTAAAAAAAAACAGTTCCTTCTCCGATAACAGGGCTGGGCAGAAATACTCAAAAATGTATTTGGAAATACAAATACTGGGATACATTAAAAAAGTAGCCTAAATACTGATACTAAAATACATCTGTAAAAATGTATCGCGATACGTATCGAAAATACATTTTAAATAGAGGCAAAAAGTATTTGGAAATACAAATACAGGAATACATTTGAGGGAGGGCTAAAATACAAATACAGAAATACTGATACTGCAGTACATTTTTCACATTTGTTAGAGACGCCAACTGAGATGAATCTTGAAGTTTGAAGTGGATGTTTATTATCCCAAAATTACTTCCCTGTAGGCTTGGCACTTTGCCTTGAAGGTAGTGGTTTCGGACGACGAGGAGCCTTCAATGGGCTCAAAAAAACTTTCCAATCAAGGTCTGACCGCGGTCCCTTCCCTGATATCCTGTCTGTCTGACGAGGGATGCGAAAAGACTTCGACCTCTAAATAAATTCCATGTCACTCTAAATCCTATCAAATAGTCACCACGCCCCTGTCCAATAAGGACGTCCCTGCCAACATTGATCACATGACGTCACGGTGGAATGAACTGGTATTCTTTATCTGTAGGTGTGGCCTTGAACATTAAACTTTACCACGCTGCTGTATGAAAGTGCATTAGGTACTTTCGTTGTAGGTTACCTCGTTGAAGATTGTGCAGGCAGTGTCATTTAGAATTTTCGAGAATAGTGAACCACCTTAAGCATCCTGGAACACGTGTCTCACCTTCTGTTACGGTTGAAAAAAAGATACTATGGCATCCCTGTTGTGAAGGTCCTTCCTGCAGACCCTCCGCCACCGACATGTGGATTGCAGTTATCAAGTTTCGCCTAGCATCACCCAAACAGAGACCTCGTGGAGTGCGACCTGATATTGCCGGCACAGGTGCGAGCTCTCCGAGAAACAGCGCGCTCGAGACGAGTCGCAGGTGTACGAAGTCTGGGTGGGCACAGCAATGCGAGGTCTGGCCTCCTTCCTGGGTTTCGGATCCCCAGAGCAGCGGGTCACGTTCATGTCGGCTGATGACGTACTCTTGAGCCGTGCAATATTACTGGCGCAGCCTCAGACGCATTCGAATATGTGTTGAACTTCACTGCGTGAGTCATCCCACTATTTCAAGTCAACCACCGTCAGGCTCGTGCTGCAACAGTGGTGTACACCCGCCGGCAATATGAAGGTGAACACCTTACCTGGTTTCTTGCCTGTTTTACGGCTCCCTAAAGCTATATTAACTCTCAACGTCTCAAATGGTACGTGGCTTGGGGTCTAAAGTTTGCGTTCTTGCCCTCTTCTCGAATAAAGCTTGTTCTAAAACTTGCAGGAGCGTCAAGAAGAAGAGGGCTGTTCACCTTCAAATCGCTCACGGGTGTAGTGTGTACGCTAAGGCAAGAGATACATTTATAAGCGGAGATTGGATGCCAGCAAACAATGACTCAAGAAATCCTTAGCTAAGGACCTCCGGCGGAAGATGCTCTAACTCCACTCTTGGCCCGCCACCTGGTTCAAGTCCCCCACTACGCAACACTTCTCAGAATTGAGAAGAGGACGCATAGAAAAATAGTTTGGAGAATCGGAAGGAATCTTGGTCAGCATAGCAACAATGCCCAAGCATCTCCTTAACCCTGGTGCCCTGAGAAGTAAAAACAAAGAAAAAAATATGTGTTCGGACTTGTTTTTTTTTTCGGTGGGATGGGGGGGGGAGAGTATTTCTCAAGAAATGTAACGAAATACATTTCATCCTGATTGTATCGCGATACAAAGAAGCATTCCAAAATGTATTTCGATACAGGAATACAGATACTGCTGAAAAAAATGTATCGCGATACAGTAATACAGATACGAAATGTATTTCTGAAATACTATCGCGATACATTTGTATCGCGATACTGCCCAACCCTGTCCGATAACGCGATTGGCGGCAAAGCAACACACGTGTCTCCTAAACAATCAATGCGTTCGGCTTCTACAATTTCGCGTGACTTGAATTTGCCAATTTTTACGCATTCATCCAACAGTGGGGTACAACCAGGGTTGGGCAGTATCGCGATACAAATGTATCGCGATAGTATTTCAGAAATACATTTTGTATCTGTATTTCTGTATCGCGATACATATTTTTCACCAGTATCTGTATTTCTGTGTCGAAATACATTTGGAATGTTTCTTCGTATCGCGATACAATCAGGATGAATTGTATTTCGTTACATTTCTTGAGAAATACTCCCCCCCCCCCCCCCCCCCACACACACACACACGAAAAAAAAAAAAAGGAACTAGTCCGAACGCATTTTTTTTTAGTTCTGAGGGCACGAGAGTCAAGGAGATGCTGGGGCATTGTTACTATGCTGACCAAGGTTCCTTTTGATTCTGCAGACTATTTTTCTATGCGTCCTCTTCTCTCTTCTGAGGAGTGTTGCGTAGTCGGGGGCTCGAACCAGGTGGCGTGCCAGGAGTGGAGTCAGAGCATCTTCTGCCGCACGTCCTTAGGTAGGGATTTCTTGAGTCATTATTTGCTGGCATCCAAGTGCCCGCTGCTAACCATCTCTCTCGCCTTAGCGTACAGAGTACACCCAGCCGGCAAAGCTGAGTCACATTCCGTTGCAGCACCAGCCTGGCGGTGGTCGGCTTAAAATAGTAGGACGACTCACGCTGTGAAGTTCAACACATATTCGAATGCATCTGCGACTGCGCCCGTAACATTGCATGGCTCAAGGGTACGTCATCAGCCGACGTGAACGTGACGCTGCTCTGGTGATCCGAAACCCAGAAGGAGGCCAGAAGTGGCCTCGCTCTGCCATCCCAGACTACGTACTCCCGCGACTCGTCTCGAGACCGCTGTTTCTCGGACAGCTCTCACCTGTGCCGGCAATATCAGCTCGCAATCCACGAGGTCTCTGTTTGGATAATGCTAGGCAAAACTTGAGGACTGCAATCCGTGCTTCGGTGGCGGAGGGTCGGTAGTAATGAACTCCAGAACAGGGATGCTACCGTATCGTTTTTTCAACCGTAACAGAAGATAAGACATGTATTTTAAGATGCTTCAGGTGGCCCACTATTCTCAAAAATTCCAAATGACACTGCATGCGCGATCTTTAACGAGGTAACCTACAACGAAAGTACGTATTGTCCTTTCATACAGCAGCGTGGTAAGGTTTCATGTTCAAGGCCACACCTACAGAAAAAGAATACTAGTTTATTCCACCGTGACATCATGTGATCAATGTTGACAGGATTCCCTCGTCAGACGGACAGGATGTCATGGAAGGGACCGCGGTCAGCCCTTGATGGAACGTTTTT